GAGAGAGAGAGAGAGAGAGAGAGAGAGAGAGAGAGAGAGAGAGAGAGAGAGAGAGAGAGAATTTTAATAACATCATCTTTGTATGTGGTGCTGAGGAATGAACCTGGGAGGCACGCATGCCAGGCGAGTGCGCTACTGCTTGAGCCACATCCCCAGCCCCCCACCAAAAAAATCTTTTTAAATGATTTTGTGAAAAATAGGACTAAAGCTTCTAGACTAATTAACATATATTTCTGGCCTTCTCTGATGCTGAAAGCATATTGATAAAAAAAAAAAAAAAAAAAAAATTCAAGTAAAAATATGAAAATTTGTCATGTCAATTTTGTCCCCTCAAAACCAAAAAAATTACTTACATACATCGGTTTTAAAATGCATAATTTCACCAAAATTCTTTACATTAATGTCAATGACAAAATAGGATTTCATAGAATCTTTCCACTTTGAATCTGAATCAGGCCTAAACTCAAAAACTTTGTGATATGGATGAAGTCAATATGTAATAATCTTGGAAAACAAAAATTATTTTCGTTTACTTAAAATGCAGGGTTTTTTTTTTTCCCTTGAAGAACACAGTACGGAGTTCAATATAATAAACAATAAATGGTATTTCTTTCAGGGAACTGATTAGAAGTGTGGGCTTCAGAGTTAAATCACCTGGAAGACTAATCAAACGTACGATATTTTTCCCTACATTCTTTCTGTACTACTGAGTTACACCATTGTTTTTTGAAGATTTACTTCATTTATTCTCCCTCTGCGGGCTCGTTCCATAATACCACATCCCATGAAACTAATGCACACCTGAGGCGGGATTATAAGCATTTAATAAATATTTACTGAGTTATCTGCGTCTTGAGTGTATCAGAATGAAGAAAAGACATGAGTACAGAGGACAGATCATAAACAAATCGTTTATGGGGAACCATGTTTAAGTATTATAAAAGAAAATAGTTCAATACTAGAGAATAAAAGTGAGTCCTATTCAAGTAGTGTGGTTAGGATTCTCATATAGGGTACCTTTAATCTGAGAATCCTTCATAGCATTAGCTGGTGACAAAAGGTGAGTTTGAGACGGGAAAGTCTATGAGGTCATGGTAAGGAGTTTGACAGTATTTAAGTACAGTGGGTAAGCAAAAGCGAACATTTCCAGCAGAGAAGTCAAGCAATTTTACGATAGGAAAAGATCGCAGAGGCTGTTAAATGTTGCTCAGTGGAAGAGATTGTTTAGTTATCATGGAAGCCCTGGGTTCAACTCCCACCCCCACTCCCAAAAAAGAAAAAGATCAGCGGCAGGAGAGAAAGCAGGGAAACTTCTGGAGGTATCCAATGTTGTCTGGACTTGGGGTAATCGTGCCTGCTGATTATGCGACAGAGGGACTGGGATGTGATTCTATCATAGGAAAGAGAAGATTACAGAGCAGTTAGAGAAGCCAAGCGGGTGACCCAGTGTTTCAAGGAATAACAAAGCGCTGCTTTCAGAATTTCTTGCTGTGATTCGCCGGAATCAGCAGAAGAGTACGCTCCGGACTGGAAACCTTCCAGTCAGAGCCTGAAAGACAACACAGTTCAAGAGGAGTCAAGTTCGGGTCCAGCTTTTGGTAGCACCAAAGACTGTCAGAGGCCGAGCTGGGCCTCCGCAGTGACCCAGCTACAAAGTGCAGGCGAGAGCAGAAAAGATTAGGCAGTGAAGGGTCTCTCACAAGAGGTTGCGCCTCATAGGACAAGCAGGCCGGCGAGTTCACCTTCTCGGCGCTGATTAACCTCGCCCCGGAAGTGCATGTTCACTTCCGCTCACTCAGGCATCTGCTAATCTCGCGAGTGCTGAAAGCGCTATGTGACCTGGGTTAAGCGGAAGTCGGGCCTCTTTTTCGTGGCGCCTTGTGGGCGATCAGCTGCTCCAAGATGAAGGTAGGTTGTTGTGGCGGGTGTTGATCTAGGCTTCGGGAACTTGGATCGAATCTTAGAACACTGCGTCAGTCCCAGCAAACCAAGGTCCTGGCCCCAAGTGGAGAAGGGTGTAAGGCAGGATAACGTGTACACTTCTTGGGCCAGAGCTCTTTGGGAAAGCGGATGGCGGACGATTACGACCGGAGTTGTGTAGTTCTGAGAGCGCCATGGTGGCGTTCCCGCGCCCAGCCGGGACAGATGCTGGCAGCGTGCTCGACCTATCCTGTTATTTTTAACTCTCTTTTACTTAAGTTGGGCTCCCTGTACGGTGACGGTAATGACGGGAGCCTTAGGCCTCGCAGTCATTCCTCAGGGCCGCAGGGAAAACGTGCCCTGTTAGCGTTTTGCTTGGCGTGCATCATTCTTAACATGGGCTAATGATGAGTAAAATCACCAAGTAGTACTGATTGAGATTGGCATGAATGGCTTGTGATGTTATTGCCGTTGTGGGGAGTTCTGCAGTTACTTGTGTAATTTTTCCTTCTACTTTTAATCCTAGCTGAATATCTCCTTCCCAGCCACTGGCTGTCAGAAACTCATTGAAGTGGACGATGAACGCAAACTTCGTACTTTTTATGAGAAGCGTATGGCCACAGAAGTTGCTGCGGATGCTCTGGGTGAAGAATGGAAGGTAAAAGTTAACTGTGGCATTGTCACGACTGTGACACGCTCTGGGAATTGGTGTTTGGAATGGGGTTTGAACTGCCGCTTTAGTTTTCTGACCTGGGTTATCACTTTGTGAAGTAGAGCTATCACCTGATGGGGTTCTGTAGTATGTAAATGAGTTTGCCATTGCACTTGACAAGTTGGAAATACAGACAAAACTTTGATCAGAAGTTTAAATTGGTCTTATTGAATTATACTTCTCTAGAAAAGAGGTGTGGGTCAATAAAGGCCAAAACACTGAATTTAATAAATTTGGAATAGAAATGTTACATGTGTGGTGTTTTCCTGCAGGGTTATGTGGTCCGAATCAGTGGTGGGAACGACAAACAAGGTTTCCCCATGAAGCAGGGTGTCTTGACCCATGGCCGTGTTCGCCTACTACTGAGTAAGGGGCACTC